AACGCAAAGGTATTGCGAGGTAACGCAAAGGTATTGCGAGGTAACGCAAAGGTATTGCGAGGTAACGCAAAAGTATTGCGAGGTAACGCAAAAGTATTGCGAGATAATGCAAAAGAAAAAAATCCCGTATCTCCTCACGGGCTCCGTACTATAAGTGATAACGGATAAAAAAAATACAGCTGTTTTTTTATTTAAATGTTTTTTATCTTGCGGCTAATAAACTAAATAGTTTTCTAAAATTTAATTTGTTTGTACAAAGTTGTTTTTATGTCACTGTGACTAAAAATACAGAAAAAAGAAGACTTGTCTGAAAGTTGGCACAGTGTTATAGTAGTTAGCGCTGTTGCCTGCTACCATGAAGGTTTCCAGTTCAGATTTGGTGTTTGTGTGTTTGTCTGCACAGTTTTCCTCCCACAGTGCAAATATGAGGACGTTAGGTTAATTAGTGATTCTAACCTCACACGCAATTGTGCAGGATTCTGTGTCTTTGTGCGTTGGCTCCGAACAGAAGAAAGTGTGTATGGGAGTTTAATGAACTGGTCCCAATTTAAATATAAGACAGATTGTACTGGCAGGCTCAGAGTCCCCAGATGGGAAAGCACAGATACGCACTTTAAAAAAAAGGTGCTGCCTCCTTATGATCAACATTTTTTCACATTTCAGCGTGTACCTTCATCTCTCCAGCTCCTGCCTCCTCCTCACATTGGTCAAAGGTCACATATGTATGTTCACAAAAAAATTAATCTTGAGTTTGAAAAATGCAACTTGCCTGAAAATGAGCTCTGTAACATTTGGATGCTCATTTATTAACCAGAACCTTCTGTAGAAAACCGGGCAGCTCTGTGCGTGGACTTGATGTTGTATTATCCATCAAATTCACAGTGGTACCCGAAATAAAATATTGGTTTTGTAATATTTTAGTCTTCTTAAGATGACCGAACTGCTTTCCAGTGACCTTTTTTTTATGTTTCATTATTCATAGTCAAACTCATGAGGCTACCCGCTGCATCTTTTTATTATTTCAAGCTTAATCCAAAGTATCTGAAAGCAACTTCACCAATCAGAAGCAGAACTTAACTGACATAAACTAGCCTATAGGAGTTCCTCAGAACTGAAATGGTTTACTGCACTGTCATCTTATAAGCTACAGTATAACTCCCCTTGTACACCTTCAAGAGTTTTCGCATGAATTTTGAAGACTGACTTTTGGAGGAATAAGTCTTAATGAAACTATCCAACCGTACGTTTGCACTTTTCACCCATGAACCTAAAGAATTATTAATCTCAAAAAGGCATTTACTATGAAATTCTTTTGAGCAGATAAGGCAGACCAATTTATTTTTTCCCTGAGGTCTAACAAAATAAGAGTTCATTTCTTTTTTTTTTTTGAATCCTCTCCCAACCACAGAGCATTTTTTTGTGTGTGATGGCTTTTCCATTTGACCTCCAAGTGAAAGTGCTGAGTTGTCTGCTGAAATCAATAGCTTTAGTTTACAGTACTTGTATTTGTGACAGAACTGAATTGAATTCTAGTTGCTACGCAACTTGTAGCTTTCCACAGGATGTCAATTCCAGTCTGACGGATGAATGGTAGGAGGGGGGCAGGTTAGGAAGTGTAACACGGTAAATGTAGGCTGTTCTACCAGATATCACTTCCTGTCATGTTTCTGATGGACTGTCACTGTTCCTGTCTGACGGGAGTTTGCAAAGTGCACTGTTTACATCATTCAAGTCCTCCTCTGAACTGCATTTTGTCATAATATAATAAATTACCAAAAATGTTTAGAGGAATTACAGATATATTCATATAACTTATAAAAATGAACATATATTTATCATATTTCTAAAGCAAAAAAAGTAAAATAAGAACTTTATATCTGTAAGGATGTGAAGATTAACAGATTAATTGATGCACATTCATGATCCAACTGTTTATAGAGCATCTGTGTTCCAAAGCAATTTTGGAATTAAATCTAGATGCATCAATTTTAAAGTCTTTATACCTATAAAATCCAATTTCTTTAATAACTATTAGTCAGCAAGAAAGTTTGTTTCTACACAAAGGTGTCCATAATATAGAAAAAAGGACAAAAATGTTATGTTTGTGTAAAACGAACAAATTCCCACTTTTCATTTCAACCAGGGGACAGTTTTGCTTTTCCTTCTGTAGTTATCAGTGGTACAAATTAGTTTAAAAAGAAATTAGATACAGCATAACGGTAGCATATATGACCCTCGCATGTACACAAAAATAAAATTGTCTAGGGGGGTGCTCATTGTTGGTTTCAATGGATAGCCCTTAATCAGAGCTAAACAACAACAAAAAATAAATAAATAAATCTGAAGCTCCTACGTTGATTAGTTTTTGAGTTACAAGCATTTTTGTATTTCCAGACACCCCCTTTTTTGGATGGAGCCCCCTCCTCAAATATGGGGCCTATCGTAAAACAATTGGCTGGCCCAGTGTAGGTCGAACACATCTACATTCCTGCCAAATCCCATGTTGATCGGTGCAGCGGTTTCTGTGCTACGGTTGACAGAAAATCACTGAAAAAATTAAAATAAGTAAATAAAAGAAAAACAGATAAACATATGAAAACAATATGATCACCACAGTGAGGCGGGGTCATATTGTCCACAATTAGGATAAGTAAAAGGTTTAGCATCGCATCTAATCTGTCTCCCATTTTGTGGCCACTTTAAAAGTAACCATGTGTTATGATTTACTGCAGCGACTGGCTGCAGAATCTCAAAGAAAAAGATGCATCTAGCTCTCAGTTACTGGATTTTGTGGTAAAACTCTTAAAAAAATCCTTCCCAAAGCAGATTTTGATGTGATATGTTTGGAGTTATGCTTGGTTTCCTTGCAGGTGTGTGAGCTGATATGATGGCCTCTTGTCACACATGAGTATCAACCAAGCCACCTTTTATAAAAATATTAGATTTTATTTTTAGCAGATGGATCATTTTCTTGCACACGGGTCAGTCCATATCCTGCTGTTTGAGGCGTGACGGGCAGAATTGTGGAAAAATGCAGCACAGACAGACTTAAAATTGCCAATGATTGCTTAAAGTTCAGTTCAGGGTTATTATTTGACTCTTTTCCTTTCATATTTTTTGTTCACTTTCTGTGCTCTGCAGAGACAAATGAGATGTGGCCTGGAGGTTGGCAGAACAACCC